ATCTAAGGTAAAAGAAATCAGAATAGTGGTTGTGTCCTGTGGGGAGGAGTTCAGGATTGTCTGAGAAGGGGAATATAAACGTTCACTATATTGATGGGGTGTGGATGCACAGGTGTATGTATTTGTCAAAGCGAACAAACTGCACTTAAAATGTCTACTTTCAATGCAGAAAAAATATATATCAATAAAAAAACAATCCATAAATGAAAATCCCACTTCAAGTCCCTATTCTAGAAATATATACAGAGATTTTAATAAAATAGAGAATACCTTCTAGGTCAGGAAGAGAGAGAAGGATCCTTGACTATGTGTAAAAAAACAGTACAGTGATTTCACTGTCTCCCATTAGTTCTGGCCCAAGTATAATTAAGTAGAACGAAAACAGAAGGGCCTTTCTTGCTACTGGCCAGCTCTCAAGACCCAAAATTCAGACTTGCATTGATGAAGAGGTTGGCTGACCAGGGTACACAGCAAGGAGGACCTGTGATGATTACAGGGCTCCATATCCCCAATAAGGACAGGCATGTACTACTTCCCCATATCTCCTATCAGTATTAGATAATTATCAGATAATGCCCTTTAATATCTTTGAGAGGAGGTGGCCTGTAGAACTCATCTCTTGGAGACACAAGATACTAGATGGGTTCCTGCACTTTCTTACAGTGGCCATAGTGTCCAGATAAATGCAGAAAACAATTTCAGGAGGGGGTTAAACAGAAGCAAACATGAGTGAGGCCATTATAAATGCATTGGTGGCTTCAGGCCAAGAGGTTGTGTTGACATAGATTCAAACAAATGAGCCAATGAAGTTACAGGAAGGGCAGTATTTGATAGAGGAAGTTGTATTGTCCTAAGGGTCCCCCTTCACTCCACAGTTGACCAATAGTTATAATGGCCTCATAAGGCCCTTTATAGCATTTAATCATTATTTAGGAAAGGGGCAGTAGCAACTCCTATGTCCACACTGAGAAGGGGTATCTTGTCTCCAAGATCACTGGAAATGCATTATAGCTAAGTAGTCAGGAGTCCAGACCAAAGTCAGAAGGCTTAAGTCTCAGCTTCACCATTTCCAGCTGTTTTAACTTGGATAATTAACTTAATTTCTCCTTCAGTTTTCTCATCTGTAAAAAACGGAGATAATGTTTATATATAGGGCTGCTGGGAGAATTAAATGGGTTAATTAAATGGGTAGAGTGCTCAGAAAAATGTTGGGCAAATGGTCAGCGCACAATAAATACTCATGATTATTATTATTAAAGCTTGTCTTCTTATTGTGCATTTGTGCACAAATGTATCAATTCTGCTACAAGTAACATAGATTTTCAGACACTCAGAGATCTAAAAAGACTAAGAATCAAAGAGGCCCCTCAGGAAAGTCAGTTCTTAATTTCCTGATCCCACAGGATACTCTGCTAGGACTTCTGGCATTCCAAATACATGGGTCCGATTCCCAGACAACCATAGCCATGATTTGAAAACTCGAACCTACACCTAACACTCCCACCCCAACACTCACCCCCACTTACAACTTACAATGTTACCTAGTTATATGCAGATCCATATTATCCAGAATGTTCCACAAAGCATTTCCCTCTGCAGGAAGCCTATGCTAAAGAATTCTTCTTTTAATGCATGCTTCCATTTTTGTTGTTGTTGTTAAAGTTGTCAGAGTCTGAATTTTTTCCCTAAAGAATATTCTTTCTTTCTTAATTTTTGGGTTTGTTTACTTACAAGTTTCATTGACTTTAGCAAGTCCAATATACAACAGCTATGTTAGGATGAAATCCGTCTCACTGATTAATTAAAAGTCTGCATCCTTCTCTCCAGATGAACAAAAGCAGTGCAGGATTAAAGCAAATAGCATTAAAAACATAATTAAAGGAAAGAGGTGAGAAAGTTTCAAAAAATCTATAATTTTAACTATAGTTGGGATTATTCCCTGCACTTTGCATTTAATTCTGTGTAGTCATTAGAAAATCTGAAAATTCTTTTGGCTCTCATTTTTACATGTTTATCCAGGAGCAAAGATATAAAAGTGGAGAATTTGCTTGGCCAAGAGACTGATTTCATTTACAAAATTTTATTTCTATGCTTCCCTGTTTCTCTTTTATAAACCATGAGGTGATCTGGTCCATGTTTTCACGAATGGTGAAGTTATAAGTGGACCACTCAATCCTGACAGTCATAATAATTTCTGCTCTATAGATTCAGCCTGATAAGACATAAAAATTCTAGACATTTTATTTTAGTGACAAACTAAACTGGATGCATGACTTTTGGCCTGCTGCTATGGCCTCCATAGTCTGTGTTGCTTTCCCAGAACTAATAATTTAATTATGATAAGTACAGGGTTCTTTCGATTTCATTCAAATGGTGTATATGTACACACTTGCCAACTGCTTCTGCAATGTTATTAATAACTATGTGCTAATTATGTCAATAAATTAATTGGAACTGTACCCCTATTGGTACAGCCTCTACATCCCTCTGCTGTTACTCTTCCTGTGGACTTTTAACCTCAGCTCTCACAAACTGCCAGTTTATTCCTCGTGTAGAAGGTGCATTTTCCTGGATTATTATATTTTAATGCATGCTCTGTTCAGCATTAAATGTCTTCTCCTTTAATTCATTTATTGACTGCTAGATGTTTTGCAAGAAACACTGCAGTGGTTTAGAAATTTATTTGATAAATCATCGATTGACCCTCTCAATCACCTAATTAACCACAAATGAAAGATTTAAATAGGTTTACTTTTCTTTTTAAATAAAAGTCCGTATAAATTACAAACCAGAGTCCTACAAATTAGCAATGTGGCTCTGTTATTACTGAATCAGCACCACTGGAATCATCAAATATCAGGAAATGAGGCAGAGGTTTGGCACCTTTTTCTAACATATATGTAATATTAAGCTCTTTTCCCTCAAATAGCTTTCAGATCATTTCACACACAGAATGCAATTACTGAAAAGCAGTAAAGGCATGACTTAAAGGACTATGATGCCCCGAGCAATCAGTCACTATATGAGATGGAATGAAATGCTACGCCTGCCAGTTCAACTTTGGGAACGAAGGAGAAATTTCTACAAAAGGCGCCATGTTCCTCTTACAAGGATATTTTCTTTAGCATCAAAGTTGTAAGGTGTTACTGTCAGAGAACTTTTCAGTTTCCTCACTTTTTACATGCATTACATATAATGTCTATTATGTATCTTTACTAAAGTGGCTTATAAAGGAAATAGCAGTAGTTTGCTTTGTGCTGAAAGGCAGGCACTTAAGGAGCAAAGCATCCTTTTCACTTCCTCTAGCCTTCTCACCCTGGAACAATGAACTTGGCAAAAGAGCACTTTCCTTTGTCCCTTTCCTTCCCCTGAAATAGCCCTGCAACAGTAGAATTGCCCAAAGATGACTTCCTAAGCCTAAGGCAGAATTCCAACCTGTCAACCTTAACTGTTGAGCTGCTTCTGGGAACAAACAAGGAAAGAAAGACAGCAAGGAATTCTGAGACCACATGTCCCCATACAGAGTTTATGGTCTAGTGAGAGCATTGCTAGCCGATACCCCTTATGCATCCAGGGCAGAAATCCACTAAATAGTCTAGAGGGTCCAAAGGATTGAAATACAATACACCTTTTCTTATTTTTGCTTTCGTTAGTGAATTTTCCATGATTCTGGTAACAGTACCACTCAGGAGAGAAGACATATGGCATGGAAGTCACAGACTGGTAATCCCAGGAGGACCAGAGGAGGGTTTAGTGAGTTTGTAGAGGCAGAGATTGACCTAAAATGGGAAGGGAGAGGATTCTTGCCAAAGTCCCAGGCTCTTACACCAGCTTCAACACTCCTTTCTGGGTCTGTCATCAAAGCAGCCAAATGAAACATTTCTATTTCTAAGATTGTCTGTCTGTAATGCAAAGCAACGATTTCTCTTGGTTATAATTCACATTTAAAGAAAAGACATTCGATAAGTACCAACTATTATTTTAAGTGTGTGATCACTTTAACCATTAAGATACCTTATGTCCTTCTAAAAGTACTTATAGAAGAATTATTCTTAAAAATTTTTTCAAAGCTTCCAAGTTTGGATCCTCCCACCCCATTCTCTGACCTATGAATCCAATAATGAAGATATATGCACTAGCTAGGAAATTAAAAACTCTATTAGATATTTAAAGACTCATAACTCTACATTAAAACTTTACACTAGAACAAATACTATTATGTGTTTTCTAATCATATATATGTCCTAAATCCAAAAGATTTAAAAAATACTATAGGTTATTTATGTTTTTCATATTAGTGTCTAACCTATAATTATCATTTGAACATATACATAAACATGACTGTTTTTGCTTTTATTTTCAACAGAGATTGTCACACAATAAATTCTATCCATCAGGCATTTAAAACACTTAATGGCTAAATCTGGGAATATTTTTTACAGCATCATAATTTCAAATGGCATGAGAAAACTTTCAGATTCTAAATTTAGAGGTTGGCTTTCTGGCACACAGTAACTTGAAGATAGTTTACAAAGCAACATGGTATAATCTCTTGAATGAGGGAGGTCCCTTTGAGTAGATTGTTACAGTTATTTAAAAATATTTTTTCATAATATAAAGAGATACTTTTATCCACCATTGAAAATTATGGTATAACAGGGGCTACATGTGATTTATGTACATGATTATATACATCAAAAATATCCCAAAGGCAAAGTTAAGATTAAAATAAACTTCAGAATTCCAATTTCAATAGGTTCAGTTTGGGAATTATCAGACAAGAACTCTCAAATAACTGTGATTGTTAAGAGCTCTAATGGAAAATTAAACAAGGTACAAAATCACTTTGATAATGTAATAAGAGAGATGGGAACTCCAAGGATGAATAAAAATAAATACATGCCCAGACTTTTCCTAGTGAAACTTCAGAAGCTCCCGGATAAAGAGAAAATATTAAAAGATATCACAGAGAACAGTCTTTAAACTTAATGGAAAAATAGAGTGACAGTAGATGTCAGCCACCCTAGTTGCCAGCACACAAGGACATCTGAAAGAAGTAACCTGAATGTGGCCAAGACAGCTAACAAGGACCATTTGGTTATAGCCTACAACCATCTTTTTGAAAGTAAGCATTTCAAGGGTACGGAAAGTATAAGTGTCTGAGCAGGTGAAAAATGTGAAGCTTAATGAAGATAAACCCAAAGAAACCAAGTCTGAAGAGACTCTGGATGAGGGTCCAACAAAATATATAAAATCTGTTCTTAAAAAAGGAGATAAAACCAACTTTCCCAAAAAGGGTGATGTTGTTCACTGCTGGTATACAGGAACACTACAGGATGGGACTGTTTTTGATACTAATATTCAAACAAGTTCAAAGAAGAAGAAAAATGCCAAGCCTTTAAGTTTTAAGGTTGGAATAGGCAAAGTTATCAGAGGATGGGATGAAGCACTCTTAACTATGAGTAAAGGAGAAAAGGCTCGACTAGAGATTGAACCAGAATGGGCTTATGGAAAGAAAGGACAGCCTGATGCCAAAATTCCACCAAACACAAAACTCATTTTTGAAGTAGAATTAGTGGATATTGACTGAAATAGCAGCAATGCTTCAGATATAATGACATCAGCAACAATAAAACATTGCAATTGGAAGGGGAGGTGAACCATGAGAGACTATGGACTCTGAAAAACAGTCTGAGGGTTTTGAAGGGGCGGGGGGTGGGAGGTTGGGGGAACCAGGTGGTGGGTATTGGAGAGGGCACAGATTGCATAGAGCACTGGGTGTGGTGCAAAAACAATGAATACTGTTATCCTGAAAATAAATTTAAAAAATTAAAAAAATTTAAAAAACAAACAAACAAACAAAAAAACACATTGCCTTGAAGAAACTTATATAACTAATTAGAGCTGGTTACTATTGTAAGGGAAGAGTCAACTGGAAAATTCAAGAGCTCAGATATTGTTTACCCAATCCCCAACTTTTAATATATGTAATCCATTATAATTCCCTAAAGTTTGAAATATTTTACTACAGCTATGTAAAATACTGGTTAAGGAGAAATGACTTTCCTTTACCTCATGTTGTAAACTAAAAGGCTCAATAAAAACATATTCAGTGTCTTGCAAAAAAAAAAAAAAAAAAAAAAAAAGGAAGTAACCTGAAGAAAAATAATAATCAATCTAAAATTTCATGTCTAGCCAAAACTTTATGCACGAGTTGAGATTAAAGAAGAACTTGCTGATACATACAAATACAAAAGGAAATTTTCCAACCTCACAGAAACTACAATTAACCTCCTAGTCTCACAGAAACTACAATTAATTGAAGTTTTTTAGTAAAAAGAAAAACAAACACAGAAGTAGAGTAAGATAAAAGAAATAATGACTAGCACATAAATCAGTAAAATATATAAGTAATCCTAATTAATATTTGAGGGTAAATGTAATAGTACTTTATGATAAAAATGGAATATTGTAATATTCTGCACTGCAATGATAAGAATAATGAGGGTTATTCAGTAGGTAAAAAGTACTAAGTTTCTGCCTTGTTTGGAGGAGGATGGAGATACATACTTAGACATCATTTTTAAAAAGTTATAGTGAATTGGGGTAAATTGGAGGGGGAGATGAAGCATGAGAGGTTATGGACTCTGAGAAACAAACTGAGGGTTTTGGAAGGGATGGGGTGGGGGGGCGATTGGTTATGGTGGTGGGTATTAAGGAGGGCATGTATTGCATGGAGCACTGGGTATGCTGCATAAACAATGAATCTTGGAACACTGAAAAAATTAAATAAATAAATTAAGAAAAGAGTTATAGTTAGGAATGTATACTAGACATTTAAAGGTAACAGGAAAAGTTGGGGAAACAGTACATTTAAATTGGAAAAGAAAAAATGAAAAAATAAAGTAAAAGTCTGGTTAAGAAAAAAAGAAAAAATGTGAAAGGAATGATAGAAATAAATGGAAATATACATATTTAGTTGCAATTAATGAAAAATTGTTAGGTTATTTAAGACAATAGATCACTAAGACACAAACATTTTTCTAAAACAAAATGACACAGAAAGATTGAAAATAAATGGATAGAGATAAATGTATTAAAAAATGCTGACTAAAATAAGATTTCTATGGCATTTTATGTCAAAGAGAATTTAAGGAAAACATTAGTAGAGATGAGGAAGAACACTAATTCATAAGTGAAAGACACAAAACTATTTAATAATAAAGAACTTAGGTGCTCTTTTCAGCAACTCTTAAATATTTATAAGGCAAATACTAAAAGAATTAAAAACTGAAATTGACAAAAAATACTGTGGCAGATTTTTCTACATTTCTATTAGAAATTTTTCACCATAAAGGGGCACCTGGGTGGCTCAGTTGGTAAAAGCCTCTGCCTTCGGCTCAGGTCATGATCTCAGGGTCCTGGGATTGAGCCCCGCATCAGGCTCTCTGCTTAGCGGGGAGCCTGCTTCCCTCTCTCTCTGCCTGCCTCTCTGCCTACTTGTGATCTCTGTCTGTCAAATAAATCTTTAAAAGAAAAAGAAATTTTTCACCAAAAGACCAGAAATAAAGAAAAGAAGAACAGAATTGGTAAGACTGAATTACAAAGAAACTTGATATACAGTATATATTTAAAATTTGATAGTCAAAATTTGAATAAGTACTAGACCATAAAATAATTCTTGAAACATTTCAAATAATTGATATCATATACTACATGATTTCTGTCCATGATATAAAAAATGAAGAATCAGTAGTATGTGATAGTTTCTCCCAAACCTTATATACTCCTGAATAACTAATGGATTTAAGAGGAAGACACAATGGAATTATAAAATATTTATAGAACGCAATGATAATAAATGAACTATATACTAACACTTGCAGAATGTAGCATGAGTGGAACTAGAGATCCATTATAGTAGTAAAAGCATTTTTAAAACAGGGCTATTAAAAATAAATGAGTTAAGTATTCAATTCAAGAAGCTTGAAAAATAGTAACCAAAGGAATGAAGAAGAAAGGAAATAATATAAATAAAAGCATAAGTTAACAACTATAGAGAACACCAGAGATAATCAGCAAAATTAAAGCTGATTCTTTGAAAATAATCACAAGACAGACTATCCTGAATACAGGTGTGGGGGTGACAAATCAGAAATGAAAAAAAGCAGGATATGACTATATATAAGATCTTATTAAAGTCTTGTGAAATTAGTTTGAATAACAATTGCCAATAAATTTCACAACTTAGAAGAGTGACAATATCATGAAAAAGTATAAATCACCAGAATTGACTGATGAAGGAAAACAAAATCTTTTTCTAGGATGCTAATAAGCTTTATTTTTTAAGGTATACAATGTGGTGATTTAATAGAAGTATGCATTGTAAAATTATTACCTCCAAGTTAATTAACACACTCATCACTTTGCATGTTCACCATGCTTGCATGTGTGGCAAGAACACTTAAGATCTACTATCAGAGCAAAATTTCAAGTATACACAACAGTATTATTAACTATAATCACCATGTTGTATGTTGAATCCCCAAAAGTTACTCATCTTAAAACTGAGAGCTTGACCAGTATCTCCCCATTTCCCTCACTCCCCAGCTCCTGGCATCATCTTTGTACTCTCTGGTTCTATCAGTTTAACTTTTTCAGTTTCCACATATAAAGGAGATTATACAGTATTCGTCTATGACTGACTTATTTCACTTAGGATAACATCCTCCAGATTCATCTTTGTCACAGATGGCAGGATTTCCTTTTTTTTATGACTGGATCATATTCAATTGTGTGTGGATATATACATACATATCACATTTTCTTTATCCATTCATCTACCGACATACACTGAGGTTGTTTCCCTATCTTGGCTATTGTGAGTAATACTGTAATGAACATGGGACTGCAGGTATCTCTGAGATGCCACATTGTTCTTTTTGAGGGAACTCCACGCTGTTTTTCAGAATGGTTATACCAAATCATATTCCCACCAACAGTACTTAAGGGTTCCCTTTTTTCCAAACCCTTACCAACACTTGTTATTCCTTGTCTTTTTTATAATAACCATCCTAACTGGTGTGAAGTGATAGTCCATTGTGGTTTTGGTTGCATTTCTCTGATGATCAGTGACATTGAGCATTTTTTCATACACCTGTTGTGCACTTGTATGCTTTCTTTGGAAAGAAAGCTATTCAAATTTTTTGTTCAATTTTGAATTGGGTTATCTTATTTGATTGATGGATGGATAGACTGTTACTGAAGTTTTATGAGTTCCTTATATATTGTGGACATTAACTTTTTTTCAGATTTATGGCTTACAAATATTTTCTCACATTCCATAGGTCATTTTGTTGATTTTCCTCCTCTGCTACTGAAGGTTTTAGTTTGACGTAGTCCCACTTATTTATTGTTGCATTGTTGCCTGAGCTTTTAGTATCATATCCAAAAGAATCATTGCCAAGACCAATGTTAACAAGCTTTTACCATGCATTTTTTCTAAGAGTTTCGTGGTTTCATGTCTTACATTTAAGTCTTTAATCCATTTTGAGTTAATTTTTGTGTTTCCTATAGGACAAGGGTCAATTTCATCTTTGCATGTGGATAACAAATTTTCCCAACACCATTTATCAAAGAGAATCCTTTCACCATTGTGTAAAATCTAAACTGTTAAAAAGCAAAAACCAATTAGGAAATTAGATTGGTGGTTATAAAAATTCCATCCCCTCTATTTCCTCTAAGGTCAGTAGCACATTTATTCAACAAATCATTCATTCCACAAATATTTATTGAGAACCTACTATGTATCAGACACTGTCCTAGGCACTTGGGCTCATCGATGAATAAAACACAACAAAAAAGTATATTGTCTTTGTGGAGCTGAAATTCTAGTGAGGGGAGCCAACAATAAGCTATGAAAAAAACGAAAATTACATTATATTTTAGAAGGTGATAAAGACTGGAAAAAAATCGAACAGGGTAAAAGGAAGATAGAAGTAAAGGATGGGCATGGAAAGAAGCAAAGTGGGTGTGATGGAGGGGCTTTCCTGATTTTTTTTTTTTTTTGTCTTAAATAAATGGCTCTTTAACCCAGTTCAATAATAACCCAATAGTGAAAGAAACTCTCTCTGAGGAAACAGGACATAAAAAGTGCTAGAGAAAGTAACTGAGCTCCAACAGTCTGGAAACAAACTCCTGTCCTCCCTTTGCTGCCCCATTCATTACTGGCCCAAAAGGTCTATCAGCTTTGTGGAGAAACCACCAGATTATTTGCAACGACTCTCTGTGGGCTGCTGGTGATTTGAGACAGACATTATTTTGCCTGATATTTTAAGTTGAAGGTCAAAGTAACCTGAGAAGGCAGGTTCAGAAGCTAAGAAATCAGCCATGTTGGTATTTGGGAGAACATTCCAAGCAGAGAAAAGAGAGAAGAATGTCCGTGCAAACAGGTTTTTGGCATGTTTCAGGTACAGTCACACTGCATCAGAAGGAATTGAAGGGGAGGAGGGAGTAGAAGTGGTCAGATTGTTAAAAGAATTTTCCTGGTCAATTTTCTATAAGTCTCAATGAAGAGATAATCCTCAAAGCAGTCTCAAAGAACAGAAAAAGGTTTAAAAAAAATACCCAACTTCTTTTATGAGACTGATTTAATCTTGACACCAAAATTAGATAAGTAGGGAACTAGATAATTATAGACCTATCATACTTATGAACATAGATGGAAAAATCCTAATACAATATTGGCAAATCAAATCTAGTAACGTGTCTAGATTTAATCTTGCCCAAAGAAAGATTTTCTTAAGAATGGAAGGCTGGTACAGCACCAGAAAAATTTATCAATGCATATATGCATATCAGTGCTTAATATTTTAATAAGTTAAGGAATAAAAAATAGAATCATCTTAACTGACTATCCATAGTGGCCAGGACAGCTGTCATACACATACTGAACAATGTGGATTTGCCTTCATCTTGGCTGGGATTGCTCCTGTCCTACTTGAATGCCTGCATTTGCAAGCAGCACTGATAAACAGACCTGCATAAATTACCAACCATCAAAGGGCAGGCTGATCATATGGCACTCTTGTGTCATGGAAGAGGGATGCGTCTTCACT